ACAAGTGCAGTCGGTACGGAAATTCAGTCTGTATTAATTGTTAAAACATGTGCCTTCAGGGGCTTAGGACAATGTTACTGTGTTAAGAATGGCTTGATAAAACCCTCAGGTGAATAATATTTCAACTGTACCTTAGGAGACGTGTTAACTTAAAGATAATGTTGGCAAGTCTGATGTCATTATACAACCAAGGACCCCTAGTTTAGTAGTGTTTAACAATTACTTAGTTTTTAAATTTTTCCTTTTTTTTTGCTGATTATTCATATTTTGCTGATAGTTAAAATCGAGCCTTATAAATAGAGAATAGAATTTAAAATGAAGTGATAGAATTTATGATGAATTAAGTTTATACAGTTTTCAATTATGGTAATGATTTTATACATGACATTCTGGCATTAGATTTTATTGTGAAGTTCATATCTGTCCACAAAACTTTCAGTAACTATAAAATATATTGTCATGGCAATTCAGATGGGGAATTTAGTTCAGTATCTGCTTATTTTCTCAAATTGATTTACTGTTATGACCAAGTTATTATTTATAGCTAGCTCAGTACACCCCACCCCCTTTCCCACCATAAATGAGGATTAGATACAAAGCTCAGAGGTCATATACAGTGCCTACGAAAACATGTGAAAGTTCAGCTTCTACAAATGTGCCATCCTTTCTATGAACTCTCTCTCTCTCTCTCTCTCTGTTTTATTAATATATTTCTTTTGTATCTGTAGATGTTCTTGAATGAGTATGATGAACTCCCCCTCCCGGCTCTGACCTACTTGACGGGAGAGTGTAACTATGGAGGCCGAGTGACGGATGACAAAGATCGCCGCCTCCTCATGTCTATCCTCTCCATCTTCTACACGGAACAAATCATCACCAACCCAGACTACAAGTAAATATTGTGTTTAAATACAAATCATCACTAACCCAGATGACAAGTAATATTTTGTGTTAAAAATAAAGGTCTTTTGTAATGAACAGAAGGGTCTCAAGAAGTACTAGTATTATTATATTCAGTTATATTTAAACTAGAAAAACAGTTTATAATAATTATACTGTCCTTGAGATACCACAAAATAAATAATTATAAAGTTTCTATCAGAGAATAGTGATTTTATCAAGAAATTTGAGAAATTGATTGTAAAGGATTAACCCACCCACCCATCCACCCCTTCCCAATGACTATTCTGTTTGTTTTTGTCAGATTCTCTCCCAGTGGTATTTACTATGCCCCAGAGGAAGGCCTCCACCAGAGCTATATTGATTACATCAGGACCCTCCCCCTTAACCCACTCCCAGAAGTGTTTGGTCTTCATGAGAATGCAGACATCACAAAGGACAACCAAGAAACACAGCTGGTAAGGTCATACTGTACAATCTGACATAATTAAGATGGTTATACTGTAAATCACATTTAAATCGGGTGAGATTCAATTGATTAAATTTGTGCTCATTATTTAAGATACTAATTAAAAAAAAAGGTCACATAAAATGTAAGTGATTAACAGTTTTGTTTTTTACAAAAGATATAAGAGTGGTATATTGTATGTCCTTATCATTGTACCTGATTTCCTGTTTCAGTTGTTCGATAACATTCTTTTGACCCTCCCTCGACAAGCCAACAAGGGAGGTAAATCAACAGCTGAAGTCATCCAGGACCTGGCTGCAGATATCCTAGGAAAATTACCAAAGGACTATGATATGGAATTTGTACGTATTGCTAAATGGATAAGATTTTAAATAATTATATCAAATATATCTTAAACCATTCAATTAAAAGCAATAAAATTTATGTGTTAACTCAGAATTAAATTTGTTTCTTAATTTTTTTTAGCTCATCCTGATGAATTGAGCTTTGTAGTCATTGATTACCTTAATGATTCAGAAACATGCAATATCACTTAATTTTATCTTTCTCTTTAACATCAGGTCATGAAAAAATACCCAGTGTTGTACAATGAGTCCATGAACACAGTATTGAGACAGGAACTTATTCGCTTCAACCGTCTGACATCCGTTGTTCGCCAGTCTCTCATTAACCTCCAGAAGGCCATCAAAGGTCTTGTGGTCATGTCGTCAGAGTTGGAGGAGGTGTTCCAGAGCATGCTTATAGGAAAAGTCCCATCTGTATGGGCGGCCAAGTCATACCCCTCTCTTAAACCTCTGGGAAGCTATATAAATGATCTCATAGCCAGGTAAGAAAAAATCAGTGTCAAATTGTCTTATATAACATTGATTTCCAGTGTTGATATTCATTGATTAGCAAAGGTGTGCATATGCTGCAAAGATGTCTGTTGCAAAAAATGCTTCATTATGCTGTACTTGAGAGCTTTACTTGATATCTTTGTCTTTTATAGATTGAAGTTCTTCAGCGATTGGATTGACCATGGTGCCCCACCCACTTTCTGGTTGTCTGGGTTCTATTTCACACAGTCCTTCTTGACAGGTTTCCAAATTTTTTTTTTTGGGGGGGGGGGGGGATCATTTTTTTTCATAAATGGTGTAGATTGCTCTTTAGGAAATCCATCATTATTACAAATTACTTCATCTGATACAGGTGTCTCCCAGAACTATGCCAGAAAGTATACCATTCCCATTGATACAGTTGGCTTTGAATTTGCAATATTGAAAGAAGAAAGACATATGGAGACCAAGCCAGAGGATGGTGCTTACGTATATGTAAGTAATGAAGCGAATACCTCAGATTGATAAATAACCAGCATACTGAATACTTCTGTAGGTAACTTATTTGTGGTGCTTTTCTGTGAGTCTTGTTTTTTTTTTGATGAAAACATTTAACTGTAGGAACAATGTAAGTGATGGAAGTTTCAGTGCAGGGTTAATTTATCCCCAACTCTGTTTAAATTAAAGACGCATAATAATTTTCCTTACATATTAGCTCTGAACTGTATACATGTACCATAGGGAAATGTGTAGACTTGTTGAATATATCCCTAAATGTGAGTTTTGTAATCAGCAGTATTGGTACATTGTATACAATGTTCAGTGATGGCCAAAAAAAAAATGTTCTGGCAAATTTTGTGTACTAGCACTTAATTACTCAAGAATATAAATCCATGAACTTGTAGCATGACATATACATTATTTAGCATTTGTTATTTTTTTTTTTTTAACTATGCCTTGTAATATTGACAGGGCTTGTTCCTGGAGGGAGCTCGATGGGACAGAGACACAATGCTGATTGGAGAATCCCTCCCCAAAATCCTCTTTGATCAAATGCCATGTGTATCCTTTTTAATAACCATTCTGTTCATGACATCCTGATAAATTCATGTTTAGAACAATATAGAAAATTCAATTACTTAAAATGATAAAAAATGATTCTTCCAAATATCACCTTGAAGGTAAAGCATGAAGAAAATTGATTATAGCTGTGTTTCCATTTTTATCTGTTTGATTCACATTTTGCTTCTTTCTAATACATGTACATGTAAACTGATCCATAATACCAGGCACCATTTATATGTAGGGTATAGCATCAATATGCAAATATCCACCCTTAACCCCATAATTAGATCTGGTTACAGCCTAACAGAATTGAGGACTTTGCTGAGAAGAAGACTTACCGCTGTCCAGTTTACAAGACCAGTGCTAGAAGAGGTGTTCTGTCCACCACCGGTCACTCCACAAACTTTGTGCTATTTATAGAACTCCCAACAGACAAATCTCAAAATCACTGGATCAACCGAGGCGTGGCCAGTCTCTGTCAACTGGATGACTGAGCAGCGATCCGTGACTGTTGTTATGGAAACACAGATTTTGTTTTATGAAGATGCATTCTCACAGAATTTGTTTTTGAAACATAGTCATTTCAAAAAATGTTAAATAATTCCATGTCGTATTTGTGCCAATCCATTACTACTTTGTTAGTTTTTAATTTATAACTGTAGGAGATCCTATATGACAGTGATAATAATGTATAAAACTATTATTTTATTTCCGTGGTATTATATATTACATAGTCCCTGCTGATTAAAATGAGATGTCTGCTGATCCGTCCATATTTTTGTTATTATTATTTATAATGTGTGTGCCTTTATTCCTTCAACTGTTGTTACTTAAAGGTATCAAATTTATTAACTGTGAATAAACCGTCCTTGAATTTGTAGTGTATATCCATGCCTTAATTGTAATTGATAAGGAACTTCTTTTACTGGCATTATAATTTCCCTAATATTGTTTATCAATTTGTAATTTCTCAGCTATTTTGTGCTGAAGTCTAACTGTGATATTCAAATAATTATATAATGTATACATGTTTATATGTTAACCGTTTTGTGATGTAGAAAACATTCTATGCCTGTATCAGATGTTATTTGTATCCTAAATTTTTTTTGTCACTTGATGTTTTAAATGATCAATTTTTCTGCTCTTTTCCTTCACTTATTCAATACAAACTAATTTGTGTAAAAAAAAATTTCATTTCTCATTACTGTTTTAAAAAAAAAACCTTGTGTGCCTTTAATTAATCATAAAATTGATACTTTGTTCAGCAGGTACGTGATTTTTGCAGTGATATGCAGTCTTCCCATTTGATATTTACAACTTCAGACTGCTGTAAACTATACATAAAACTGCTTCACCATTCTCATGTTGTTTGATACAGTTGGCTGTGAATAAAACTAAAAAAAAAATATAGAGACTTGTGAAATTATCATTTCTCTTTGATACAGCAATTAATTCAAAATCATTCTGGTCACCATTACATACATTCTTCAGGGGGATGTACAAGGTACATATTATAGTCCCCTACTGGAGGGAACTATAGGTTTCCTCTCCATTTTGTCTTCTTTTTTTCTCAGTCAGTCTGTCCCCCTTTATTTTCTGGACTTTTTGCTACACAAGATACTTGTATTGAGTTGATTTTTGGTTTATGAGTCCATCTTGATGAGTTACAGATCAAGTTTCTATTTCGTTCTGCTTCAATGATTTGAAGGAATTTTGGCCTTATGTATATGTTACAACCCAAAAGAGACAACAAAGTTATCATATTGTATTTATTAAATGTATAAACAAAATTATCTAAAAATTACATTTTGCTGATAAAATACAGTAAATGTACAAGATATCTTTTAAAAGATCCAATTAATAAATGAATATAATCACAGGGAATACCTGCTCAAATTGATGTACATGGTGTTGTATGCAAATTAAATAAGACATTTTTCAAAAGTTTTTGTGAAAAAATAACAGCTTCACCATTTGTTTTTGTATGCCAAAATTGTGCAATATTTTACAACTTTTAATCATTGGCAACTTGTAAATATAGTATATAGGAACCGATAGAAAATTGGTCATAAAATAACTATTTGAGTAAAGATGAAAGTCCTGCCACAAATACACTACACAGTGTAAGCTTTTATCTGTGTAGGTTATCTTACTGGTAAACATATGCATTTATAAATCCTTATTAAAATTAATTTTATCACACCTTTTTGAGTTATATGAAGAGACATGATTTTAGATGCTCATGCATTCCTTAATGCAAATGCATTCAGGCCTTTTAAAGGAGAGGTTATGTACTGTGCAAATTTTACAAAATATGATTAATATGAAAAATTCTACATCTCCACTATAAATATTCATGTACAAATGGAATGTTATTAGTATGTATATCAAAATATATTTTCAATATATACAGGACCTTGTCTCACTAATCATACTATGATTGTCTCTTCATTGCTGTGTTTTGGTTTCTCCTTAAACCCCATCAACTTAAAAAATTCAATTTAGACATTGCAATAATTGCCTCCAATTGACAAAAGCACTTAAATAAAAAGGGATTTTGATTTTAACTCAAATGTATAATTAAAATCCCATCACAACAATGAAAAAGAAATCAGGATTTTTACAATTCATCATCATCAAATGGAATAACAAACACACAAAATACACGCAGCATAAAGAATATTTACATCTGATATGTTTTGATATGGTGTGGGGCAACATGCTACCCCTGGGTTTAAGCAACAACTTCCACACCTTGCATCCATTTAGAATCACTCACACTCCATGTGAACAATAACTTTTCTTATCTTTCATACATCTAACTGATTACAAGCATTTAACCATGCACATTGATATACATAAAATGGTCACTCAAAATTCACTTGATACATAAGCATGCTTAACTGTTCTTCACACTACAGCAACTATACAGCCTTGTATACAACATCTTGTGTATAAATTTTATCACATATTTATTTCGGGATTATTGGACTTTGAAGATTTTATTTAAAAGAGTCAGTATTCTTTGGGATGACATGGTTTGTAATTGAAAAAAAAAAATCTTTGCAATCACATGTAATATGAATCAAAATTATTATAAATTATGATAAAACAATTTGTTTCAAGAATATTCTTTGAGTATACTTATTGAATTGGAAAAAACAAGAGGGTGTCAATAATGATAGGATTGCTAAGGTGTAAATAATTTAAACCACTAAATAAACCAATGTTTACAGGTTTGCATAGCGAAAAAGTGATGGGGATGCTTTTTAATCACATCGCCTTTTCTTTCAATACTACTAACTAACCAATATACTTCATACATAACTAAAGATTTTTAAGTAAATTTCAAATTTCATGATAATCTATCAACAAATTTCCTATTTTCTGTCAAACCTAGATAAATTAAACCTGGATGAAATGAATTTTATTCAGATAAATTTCAGTTAAGGAATGCTGAATCTGACTCTAGATAGAGATGCTGTGGTTATAGGAATCTTTGAAGCAAACATCCAATAAAAACCATGACAACAGCTGCAAAGGACATCTTCACTTGTCCAGCTCCGTTACAATTGTTCGATTCACAGTAGCAGATCTCCTTAAATACACCTACTGTGTCCCACTGCCAACGGCAACCCCATGCCACCCCTGAAATAAATTTACATAATGAATAAATGCAATGTCACATAAAACTGAAAAGCCCACTAGAATTTGTCGACAAGGATAAGTTTGAGATTAGTTAACATAGTCTTCCAGCCTCAACAAAAAGACATTTATTGTCACTTTATCATTATTTTATCAATACATTATGCATTAATATGCAATTCCTCTGAAATACATGAGTTGAGTTTTAATGTAAAGTTTCAGAAAAAAAACAAGTACACAATTATAAATGCCTCAGAATCAAGGACCAAATACAGTCAAACCTTGTCATCTCATACTGGATGGGACTGAAAAAAAACTTCAAGATATCCTAGGGTTCAAGACATTGAGGTAGAAAAAGTGATGTTGAGTTCCAACTCTCTTTCACATATTATGGTATTTGAGATTTAACAATGTTTGAGATAGCGAGGTTTAACTATATATGCAGTGTACATACCCTGGTCTGTCCTTGACCCACATCTTCTTGTGATCTTTTTCCAACCTCTCCCTTCATGTAAAAAAAAACAACTCTATAATGTTTCCAAACAAAAGAATACATACAATTGTTTTGAGTGCTGATTAGTTTGCTCAGACTATTACAAGAAATAATAACATGTGCATTGTTCTCCCGTTGGTTCAGTTTAAAGCACCCCATAATTTTTTAAAAATTGCATAAGAATTAATTGTCAAAATGCTTACATCCTGGACTCTCCTGGGTGATTTTCATACAGAACTGGCCAGGGGTGTTGGCCTCGAAGCTGTTGCAGTTGATGGGTGCATTGACTTCTTTATCAAAGGCCTCGTAGGATGGACATGATAAATCTTCATTGCTGTCACACTGGTAACACTGAATTGCTTGGGCTGAAATATTGAAAGAACACTTTAATAAAAATGTCCTTTTAGCTCTAATTATTATGTATTTCTAAAATATATTATACACTAGATAAAATTGTATATCTTCAGGTTTATGTCTATTTTCATAACCAAATCTGAAGAATATCACACTTATTTACTATTTGTTTAATTTAGATTAATCTGAATAATGTTAAATTAAAAGAGCTACTTTTATAATTTATCATAAACAAGACCTAAGTTATATTTTGAATTAAATAGAGTCTTTTATATAGCGGAAGTAAAGTTTTGTAAACATTCTCAATGGATGACACACACCTGGACAGGTAAGATATTTTAAAGATTTCAATTAAATTTACAGATATTTAGGCAAAATAAAAGCTTAATTTTACGTATTGTTAAAAACATAACAAGTGGCATGAATAAATATATTAACCTGTTTGCAGTTGTGAAATAATGCCCAGTAACGCTACCCAGGCGATGGCCGAGGTATAATATGTATGCTGTTTTGGATCTCGTAACCAGCCTCTATAACCAGGCAGAGCGCATGCGTGAAATAAATTTCCATCGAGATCGGAAAACAGCAGAGAGGAAATTCGGAATATATAATGGAAACTAGTAATGCGGAATGATACTATAGTCAGATGCAGAAATTTTTGCATAATTCGATCAACTTTTATTTAAAAAAGCAGAAGAATAAATGAATCAACTTTACAGTTAGTTTTTATTTATTTATTTATTTATTTATTTATTTATTTATTTATTTATTTATTTATTTATTTATTTAATTTATTTATTTATCATTCTTATAATTAATTAACTAAGTAACTGATTAATTTATTAAAAGATATATATTTGTATTTTTTTTTAAATTCATTTATAACATTCTTTCCTTCATTTATTAATTATTCTATCCATTAATTAATTATCTATTAATTAATTCATTGATTTATTAATTTGTATGCATGTTTGTTTATTTATTCATTTATTTATTATTCTAATAATTAAGTAATTGATTAATTCATTAAGAAGTTCATTTATTTGTTTGTTTATCTATTTATTATATTCATTCCTTCATTTATTTCGTATTCTATTTATTTATTTATTTATTATTTATCTATTTATTTATGCATTCATTTATTCGTATTTTTCTTTATTTCTTTATTTTTTATTTCTTTATTGATTGATTGATTTATTTTTGAATTTATTTATTGATTTATTTATGCATTTATCATATATTTCTTTTATAAATTAATTATTTTTACAGGGTTTGTATACTTATTACCAGGGTCTGTTTATGTATTGCCATAGTTTGTATACCATCACCAGGGTCTATATACCTATCACCAGGGTCTGTATACTTATCACCAGGGTCTATGTACCTATCACCAGGGTCTATATACCCATCACCAGGGTCTGTATACCCATCACCAGGGTCTGTATACCCATCACCAGGGTCTATAAACCTATCACCAGGGTCTATATACCCATCACCAGGGTTTGTATACCCATCACCAGGGTCTGTATACTTATCACCAGGGTCTATGTACCTATCACCAGGGTCTATATACCCATCACCAGGGTCTGTATACCTATCACCAGGGTCTGTATACTGATCACCAGGGTCTATGTACCTATCACCAGGGTCTATATACCCATCACCAGGGTCTGTATTATCTATCACCAAGGTCTGTATACCCATCACCAGGGTCTGTATACCTAGCACCAGGATCTGTATTATCTATCACCAGGGTCTTTATACCCATCACCAGGGTCTGTATACCCATCACCAGGGTCTGTATACCTATCACCAGAGTCTATATACCCATCACCAGGGTCTGTATTATCTATCACCAAGGTCTGTATACCCATCACCAGGGTCTGTATACCTAGCACCAGGGTCTGTATTATCTATCACCAGGGTCTGTATACCCATCACCAGGGTTTGTATATCCATCACCAGGGACTGTATTATCTATCACCAGGAACTGTATAGCTATCACCAGGGTCTATATACCTATCACCAGGGTCTGTATACCTATCACAAGGATGTGTATGCCCATCACCAGAGTCTATATACCCATCACCAGGGTCTGTATTATCTATCACCAAGGTCTGTATACCCGTCACCAGGGTCTGTATACCCATCATCAGGGTCTGTATACCCATCACCAGGGTCTGTATACCTATCACCAGAGTCTATATACCCATCACCAGGGTCTGTATTATCTATCACCAGGGTCTGTATACCCATCACCAGGGTCTGTATACCCATCACCAGGGTCTGTATACTTATCACCAGAGTCTATATACCCATCACCAGGGTCTGTATACCTATCACCAGGGTCTGTATACTTATCACCAGGGTCTATGTACCTATCACCAGGGTCTGTATACCCATCACCAGGGTCTGTATACCCATCACCAGGGTCTGTATACCCATCACCAGGGTCTGTATACCTATCACCAGAGTCTATATACCCATCACCAGGGTCTGTATTATCTATCACCAAGGTCTGTATACCCATCACCAGGGTCTGTATACCTAGCACCAGGGTCTGTATTATCTATCACCAGGGTCTGTATACCCATCACCAGGGTTTGTATATCCATCACCAGGGACTGTATTATCTATCACCAGGAACTGTATAGCTATCACCAGGGTCTATATACCTATCACCAGGGTCTGTATACCTATCACAAGGGTGTGTATGCCCATCACCAGAGTCTATATACCCATCACCAGGGTCTGTATTATCTATCACCAAGGTCTGTATACCCGTCACCAGGGTCTGTATACCCATCACCAGGGTCTGTATACCCATCACCAGGGTCTATAAACCTATCACCAGAGTCTATATACCCATCACCAGGGTCTGTATTATCTATCACCAGGGTCTGTCTACCCATCACCAGGGTCTGTATACCCATCACCAGGGTCTGTATACCTATCACCAGAGTCTATATTCCCATCACCAGGGTCTGTATACTTATCACCAGGGTCTATGTACCTATCACCAGGGTCTATATACCTATCACCAGGGTCTGTATACCCATCACCAGGGTCTGTATACTTATCACCAGGGTCTATGTACCTATCACCAGGGTCTGTATACCCATCACCAGTGTCTGTATTATCTATCACCAGGGTCTTTATACCCATCACCAGGGTCTGTATACCCATCACCAGGGTCTGTATACCTATCACCAGAGTCTATATACCCATCACCAGGGTCTGTATTATCTATCACCAAGGTCTGTATACCCATCACCAGGGTCTGTATACTTATCACCAGGGTCTATGTACCTATCACCAGGGTCTATATACCTATCACCAGGGTCCTTATACCTATCACCAGGGTCTTTATACCTATCACCAGGGTCTGTATACCCATCACCAGGGTCTGTATACCTATCACCAGGGTCTGTATTACCTATCACCAGGGTCTATATACCTATCACCAGTGTCCTTATACCTATCACCAGGGTCTTTATACCTATCACCAGGGTCTGTATTATCTATCACCAGGGTCTATATACCTATCACCAGGGTCTGCATACCAATGACCAGAGTCTGTATACCTATCTCCAGGGTCTGTATACCCATCACCAGGGTCTGTATACCCATCACCAGGGTTTGGGTATCTATGAACAGGGTCTTAATCTGTAAATCTATGTCAAGGGTGTGTATTATCTGTCATTAGGGTCTGTATGTACCCATCACCAGGGTGTGTATACCTATCACCAGAGACTGTGGACCTATTACCAGGGTCCGTATATCTATTACCAGCGTCTGTATTTCTATAACCAAGGTCGGTATTATCTATTAAAAGGGTCTGTATACTTATCACCAGGGTCTATATTATCTATCATTAGAGCTGTACATCTATCACCAGGGTCTGTATACCCATCACCTGTTTGTCTGTCCGCAAAAACGTGCCCATTACTTTTGATTGGTTGGACCTATGGCTTTCATATTTCACATGTGCATTCCTTGTGATAAGGCCTTTGTTTGGGTTCTAACATATTTGACTTTTTTGACCTTGATCTTTGAGTTTTTCCCACTTTTTCAAGAATTTACCAAACTTTAACCTTGGCTATAACTTTTCAACAGTTGGTGCAAGGGCTTTCATACTTTATACTAGTATGTGTATTCATAGTAGCAAGACCTTTGAACGGATATTAAAAAAATTGATCTTGACCTTTGAGTTTTACCAACTTTTAAAAATTTTAACCTTGAGAAATTAGTATCAGGGCTATTATTTTCCACATGTGTATTCCTTGTGACAAATCCTTTCTTTGGGTTCCGACATATTTGAAATTTTGACCTTTATCTTGGAATAAGACATACTTTTGAAAAACTTTAATCTTGGCCATATATTTTGAACAGTTGGTGCTAATACTTTAATGTTTTACATGTGTATTTCTTATGACAAAGCCTTAGCCTGGGTACCTTTAATTTGACCCTTTGACCTTGACCTTGCAGTTTGACCCACATTTAAAAAACTTTAACCTGAGCTAAACCTTTTGAATGGTTAGTGCCTGGAATTTCTTATTTCTCAGATATATTCACTGAGAGTCCTTTCTTTGGGTAACAACATTTTTCAGCTATTAAGGACATACGCAACGTAGTTTGAACTTTATTGTCTTTTTCCCTGGATTTGAGGATTTCAAATACTTAAAGGAACTGTGTGCTACATTTTAATGTCTATATATGCTGTTGTACACTTCTTCTAAAATAAATTTGGATAAACAAAACATCTAGAATATATGTTTAATAATTTTTGTATATTTTTCTTTGAATTATACAAGAATTTTCATCAATTGATATCTTTTCAAAACCCCTGGTAATGCATGCTGATTTTTTGTCTACGAACATCTGATGGCACTATATAATCTTAAATTAAGAATATCTTTAAAAATTATCAGTAGGTAAGGTACGTTGCGTATGTCCTTAATATTTGAGTTTGAGTTGCATTTGAGAAACTTTAACCATTGTCAAAAGCTGCCATACAGGGACATCAGTGTTTCACAAACACATTTTGTTTTAATTTGAAATACCAAACAAAATTAAATTGAAATATTCGATAATAACCATTATAGATTTTAGATAATTTTGTTCACTAAAGAAGAGAAAGTCCTTTGCTGTAAAGTGAGGTTTATTTGTACGTTTATTTGTTCACTAATTTGTTTATTTATTTTTGGCCTGAAATGACCATGTTATAGACCGTTCGAGAAATTAATACGGTATGTTCTTTGACATCAAACATATCAAACTTTCATGCATACTTAGCTTTGAAGTCTACATTTGGACTTTGCGACTTTGTAAAAATATTTTTTAATATTTACATTTCCAAATATTTTTTCTTAAGATTCTTTGCAAATTAGAATGCTGTTCATTTTCTCATGAACTACCATGGATGAGCATGAATATCTTCATTGTTACGTCATAATACCATACTTGACGTCAAAACTGTTTTGCTTTAAAAATGACAGTTGAATGGTGAAATTTGTGGTAACTCATCAGAAAATAATGTAAATATAAGAAATGAATTTTAATTTTTGAAGATTCATGAGGTACATGAACTACAACGCTTCACGCCGGCATATTTATCATGAAGCGCTAACGCGCTTCATGTCATATGCCGGCGTGAAGCGTCGTAGTTCATGTCCTCATGAATCTTCAAAAATTAAAATTCATTTCTTAAATGAACGCCTGCACTGAAAATTTAAGTTTAAATTTCAATTTAAATTTAAGGAGGTATAACCTATCGATTACATGAATTTTTATTGGGGGAAGTGGGTTAAAGTCACTATTTATAACAAAGTGTTGTCAGTCTAACTATCATGATAGATAAAGAAGGATGGCTAAATAATTGTCTGGAATGTGTTGCTTGGAATTTATTTCAAGGCCTAAACATGTAGATCAAGGTGTAGGGAAAGGTCGACCAATAATAACGACCTCACTATAGATTTTCAAGGCACCTAAACACTACAGATTTTATTTATTTCATTTGTATTTACAATTCATCAAATTATAATTTCAGATTAACAATTTGTTATTACAATTTTTTATCTTTTATAAAACAAGTTAACATTTTATAATTGCAAATTATTTGATTTGTTGTATAAATATTTTCCTTCCTACTGAGTTTATGTTAAAGTATGAATTTGAATTCCCCCAATACTGATGTACAAAAATCACCGTTACGGAAAACAAGATGTGTTTGTGAAACACTGATGCCCCCGTATGGCAACTTATAGCAAAGGTTAAACTTTCTCAAACGCAAATCAAATATGTTGGTACCCAAAAGTAAGGTCTTGTCCCGAGGAATAAACCTGTGAAATATGAAATTCCCGGTAGCAACGATTGAATAGATATGGATAAGGTTATTTTTTTTTTCAAAAGTATGTCAAAAATCAAGGTCAAGGTCAAATGGTCAAAATTAATGGTGCCCAAGGAAAGGCCTTCTTCCAAGAAATACACCTGTGAAATATGAAAGCCAAAGCACCGACCTTTCAAAAGTTATGACCAAGGTTAAAGTTTGATAAAATTTTGCAAAACTGGGTCAAATTCCAAGGTCAAGGTCAAATATGGTGGTACCCAGAGAAAGGTCTTATCACAAGGAATACACATGTAAAATATGAAAGTCATAGCTCCAACCAATCAAAAGTTATGGGCAAGGTTAAAGTTTTTTTCGGACAAACAGACAGACGGACGGACAGAGCAAAACTACATACCCCCGAATTTCGATACGGGGGCATAAAAATGCGAATAAAGCGTTCGATTAATTTATCTTATCCAATAAATTAAAAAATTGAGAACACTTAAACTGGTTGCAAATTGTACATCTAGTAGGAAAATTCTATGAAATATTTTGTTTATAAAACAAGTAGAATCAACAGTTAACACATTAATCACAGATTGTGTTTGCCTGCACATGATTAAAATCATGAAATTGCCCAAAAATGTACGATACATGGGAGAATTATTTGAAATCGCAAAGATATAGTCAGATAAGAAACAAACACACTCAATTTTGTAATTCATATTCGATTATCTTGTGATTTATTTTTGAAATTGTGTATACTTCATAATTATATTTAAAAAATCCCTGTGATTCATATTTAATTATGCGAAAAGTTCATATATTCGAAATCTTGTTACTGTGTATTTTTAGGGATGTCAAAATATTTATTTTCCTTAGTCGACTATTCGATAACATTATTCGAACGATAGTCGAATATTCGGAGCATTTTCTTAAAATAAAATTTTAATATTTCAAACCTCACTTGTAAATGCAGGAGGTATTTATAACAAAAAAAAAACCTTTTTACCTCATATATACAAAAAAGTAACATCAATTGCCTCTGTTGCACATAGATGTTTGCAGGCACCTAACGTGTGGTCAGTGTGTTTATATGAAATAATTTTAGACCGTAAATTATTCATATATCAGTTTTTATTTTAGCAAGTATAAAAAAAATTGCCTGCATGATATTTTAAAGTTTACAAAAATAAATGGAGGGGGGGGGGGTTAATACACTATCTACGCCTTACTCTTTGAATATATGTATTGCTAATAAAATTAATTTGGAAAGATATACGTATCACTACTTCAAATAAAACGTTTTATCATAATTATCAATTTATCTTTCATGGAATTTTATTCAATTATTCTCCATTGCTAAAGCAAATACGCCGGGACAGTCTATGTGTTTGTTCATCACAAAAATTTGAACATTGGTCATAATTTTTTGTTTAGTTTATCAATTTCAAGAAATATTCATCTAATAGAAAATATATAATAATTCTGAGAAGATCGGACTCTCATATTCCACATATGAATTACGAATTACAAAATCTTTCTGAATTTTTTTTTTATCTTATGACCTTGTCAGTGAAATTTGATATACTTATAAAAAAAAAAATAACCCTGACCTAAGCTTAGTATGGAATGAGATATATGTTTTCATAATTGACCTGTGCAATACCCGTGACAAAACTATAACAAGTCACTGGAATGTATATAGCCTAAGATCTTTGACCTTGGCATTTGACTTTCTTTTTACAAAACTTTTAATCCTGGCCAAAGCTTTGTACCTGATGAGACAGGACTTTAATATTTTCTTGTACATGAACATAGCTGTAACAAGACCTTCCAAATATACTTTGATTTTTAACCTCATAAACTTGACATTGAAGTTTGATCGACTTTCAAATCATAACTCGATCCTTGGTCCTAAGCTTTTAAACAGAACATCCCACTTTAAAAATATATAATAATTTTAAATATGATGAGCCGCCACGACAGTCACAATATGCCATAGACGATTGCATCCCAACCAAAAAGAAAAAAAAACAACAAAAAACGATTAAAGACATTCCATATCATTTCCATGCAGTGAAAATACACTGGGTCTCCTTCTTGACAACATGACAGCTAGGGTTTGTAGAACACAAATTTTGGCACTATTATCCTACTGTTCTACTGTCATGAACATAGAAGAAATTTGAACTTTGTGTTGGTTGCTCTTCTTTTATGATAATTTTTAAAATTTCACACTTTATTGATTAATTATGTAGATATGTATATCTTCACATTT